ATTTCAAATAAGAGACATTTGTTAATTTGTACTTTGAAGATGCAATTACAAACTATCGCTTGTTTGTAGTGAACTAATTTTTAAGGAATTGTTTTAGAACTTTTTCCTGTTTGTCTTTCTTCCTGTTTTTTTTTTTGTTACCCAAATTTCCCAAGTTTTCTCGAGTTTTGAATTTTAGCTTTTGGGCCCAAATTTTCTCTACAAATTCCTTTTTCAGACCATGAATGAGATCTCGGATTGGTTCTCAAATGCCTATCGCAAGATTGCAGCCACGTTATCGCAGTAGCCAGCTTGGCCCCGTCTTTCCCTAGACTGTATATTCTTGTAAATGAGCTATCAAATCTTGTTTTTCATCTCACTACGACGCAATTCATCCTAATTGTTAATTTAGGATAGTCAGTGCTATAACTTCAGAATTTCTATGTATCTCTCTTATTATATAACTTATATGTATGTACAGGTATCATAATTCTCCATGTCAAAAAATTTAATGATTGAAGAAGAGCAATTTCACGCTAAACGATTATATCGAGTTTTTTGTGAATAAAGCTATTTAAAATCGATCTCAGAAGCGTGCAGCTTTGGAAAGAGTAAAGAACACAATACAATCTGTAAGTTGAATTTCGAAAATATTTTAAAAAAGTAATCAGTAGCAAATTGGTAACAGCTTGTTAACAAAAACCAATAATCTTTACCAGTTTAGGCGAATTGAAGGCTTAAATTAAATTAAGTTTTGCAATTTTTCCTTGATTTTGCTAATTACGATAAATGAATTTTGTTCCGATAAAAACAAAAGTAAACCCATTCAAAAAAACCTGCATTCTTGCCGTTTAAAATACATGAAAAATCTTCTGAAGCAAGCAAACATTCAATTCTGAAGAACAATTATCTATGTTGGAAAAAATACCGCATTTTTCCAATCACATTCATTTGAATCTTTATATATTTGAAAGGAAGAGAGAAAATTAACTTAAAAAAGGTAGAAGCAGCTTTGATAATTAGTACAAAATCAATAAGAAAGCACACAAAGATTAAAAATACGAAAAAATTATTCTATTAATGATTGCAGCTACGATCCTGTTCAGGAAAGCCCATTTCAACATTCACAACTCCTATATCCAACCATTCCTTAGGTGTACCACCATGAATGAATCGCTTCGGCACGTTCAGCGTGATCCGCTTCTGACAAGGCTGAACGAATTCATACAAAAGCTAATATACAAAAGTAATTTCAATTTTTCTTGCGATCCAGTTAGCTGTTAGAGTTTAACCCCTCCAATTCAGCCAATTTGCATTCTGTCAGATATTTTTTTTCTCAGGCTTAGAAAATCCTAAGAAACCGAAAGTTTTGGCACCATATTATTAACTTTTCAAACGAAGGGGTCCCCCTCTACAAAAAGCTACTTAGCTTATCTTGAATTCGGTCGTGCTGATTTAGAAATGAAAGTTAAAACCTATAGCGAAAGTCAAAAAAGCTGAACTGACAGCTCACTATTTTTTGCAATGTCAAGAGCTTGAAAAGTGTTATATTACACTTCGAGGAATGATCGACCACGTTTACAATGAAATGGTTTTACCAATGGTATGGTTTGATTTCTGCTATAAGCACGTCAACAAATAACGTTAAAACCTCCCCTCCCCCCTCCTTCCTCCTTCCTTCTCTTCACTGAAGCATATGCTTATGGTAAATTAAAAGTAAAGTCCTAGCGGGGAGAACGGATATAATTATTGTGTTACAATTGAACCATCTAGGTAATATTTTAGTAATGTTTTAGTGAATATTGAGTTCCGCGCATGCCAGAAACACTAGGCAGTCAGTTGAGCTTTTATCGATCTTAAAAAAACAATTTCAACCAATTCTGATTCGATAAAACCGACACCGTTAAATGTATACCTTATGAAGGAAGGCTTTTTGAAACGAAGTACTGCCAGGACTTTTGTACTTTTTTTGACTTTTTC